ATGGGGGGGTCGGGGGGACACGAGGGGGACACGGGGGTTGATGGGGGGGTGGGGGGGGACACGGAGGGGACCCAAGGGGTGTGACAGGGTTTTGGGGGTCTCCAGGCCCAGGATTCCCAGGGATTTTGGGGGGACGACACGGGACTCAACGGGATCCGACTGTTCTGCAAAGGGGGGGACAGCGTCACCTCCGCTGTGGGGCCGTGAGTGACCAGGGGGGCCACTGGGGGGGCCTGGGTGGCCACGGGGGGCCTTGCATGGGGTGGCTCTTGGGGGTCCCTCTGGGGTGGCCACTGGGGGGCTGGGGGGGTGGGGACTGGTACCTGTGGGGTCCCAGTTGCCCAGGTGTGGTGACCCCCCACATTGAGTCCCTCCATGGTCAACACGACCCTTCCAAGGCCACCATATTCCAACCATGGCCACCATGACCCTTCCATGGCCACCGTGATCCAAACAAGGCCACCATGACCCTTCCATGGCCACCATGACCCTTCCATGGCCACCATGACCCAACCACAACCACCATGACCCTTCCATGGCCACCATGACCCCACCACAATCACCATGACCCTTCCATGGCCACCATGACCCATCCATGGCCACCACTCCCCATCCAATGCCACCATGACCCCACCACTATCACCAGGACCCTTCCATGGCCACCATGACCCAACCACAATCACCATGACCCTTCCATGGACACCATGACCCTTCCATGGCCACCATGACCCAACCACGACCACCATGACCCAACCACAATCACCATGACCCAACCGCGGCCACCATGACCCAATCATGGCCACCATGACCCTTCCATGGCCACCACTACCCATCCAACGCCACCATGACCCAACCACAACCACCATGACCCTTCCATGGCCACCATGACCCAACCACAACCACCATGACCCTTCCATGGCCACCATGACCCATCCATGGCCACCATGACCCCACCACTATCACCATGACCCTTCCACGGCCACCATGACCCAACCACGCCCTCTCCATGACGTTCCTCCACGTCCCCTCCTCCCACCACCCCATCCCTCAAGGCCACCGCGCCCCGGGGGGGTCTCACATTGGGGGGGTTCCCTCCTGACCTTCCCCCTGTGTGTGTGTCCTCTCTCCCCCTCCAGCTTCGGTACCTGGGGCCCCGTGGTGAGCTGTCCCCCCGGGGAGCACCTCATGTCCTTCCAGCTGAGGGTGGAGGCCCCGCGGGGCCTCTGGGACGACACGGCCGCCAACGACCTGACCATGAGGTGCTCGGGGGGAGCCGTGAGGGACTCCCGGACCCTCATCTACCGGGGCTCCTGGGGGGGGTGGAGCGAACCCTGCCCCCCGCCCATGGGCATCTGCGGGCTCCGCACCCGCGTGGACCCTTCCCAGGACGACATCGATGACACCGGGCTCAACAACGTCGAGTTCGTCTGCTGCGAACCGTAGGAGCCCCAGACCCCCCCAGGCCTACCCCCCCCCCCCCCGAGCCCCCCAAGTCCCCAGGACGCCCCCATTAAACTCGAGGAGGAAGGAGCCGCCGTCTCCTCGTTCCTGGGATGGGTGAGGGGGGGTCCCTGGGGCTGGGGGGGGGGTTGGGGGACACCAGGAGGGGCACCTGGGGGGCACCTGGGGGGCTCCAGGGGGACCTGCAGGATGCCCGTGGTGGTCCCTGGGGACACGGGTGAGGGTCTGTGGGTGCTCAGGGTGCCCCCCTGGGTGACACCCCGGGGAGCTTGGGGAGCTCAGGGGGCTCCAAGGGGTCCTTGAGGAGCACCCGGATCTCTCCATGGGGACCTTTGGGACACCCATGGCCACCTAAAGGTGCTCCGTGACCACCTGGATGTCCCCCCAGGTGACACCCAGGGGAGCTCAGGGGGCTCTGGGGGGTCCTTGAGGAGCACCTGGGGGGCTCCAGGGGGACCTGGAGGAGGTCCAGGATGCCCAAGGGGACACCCGTGGACACGGGGGAGGGGGGTCTCTGGTTGCCTCCTCATCCTCACTGGTCACCCCTGGAGATGCCACCAGTGCCGGGGACAAGCCCTTGCTGGTGACACTGGGGCAGGTCCCAGACTGGGCAGAGCCTTCCCAGCCAGGCCGGGCCCAGGAGCAGCAGGAAAAGCCCGGCCCAGGGAAGTTCCCCCTGGATTTGGGATTCCCAGGTCGGGTGGATCAGCAATATTCCCCCTG